GTTTTTATTCAGCACAGAGCATTGCATATAAACTATACAAGATTTCAAAACAGGAAAGGCTAGGGCTGTTTGCCTTAACTGAACATTAATGCTTCATATTTACCATGTCAGGAACATTCATCAATCCAGAACAGTCCATTGTGATAATCCAGGAGCACCAAGGGATTTTTAGTAGGAATCCCATCTTGTGCAAGCATGCATCCAGTTCACAAAGCAGGTGTTTGTTCTCCCAGAGACCACATGTCCAGGTGCAATAAAACAACAAGCAGGGAGCAGAGAGCTCACGAACAGGAACAGAGAGCACAGAACAAGAGCAAGAGCGAGAACAAGAGAATCTCTCCCATAGGGACTGACCAGTTATAGGCCCATTCCTGTCACAAATTAGCCCTGGCCAGGAGCCAATTGCGAGTGGACATAGGTGTGTCCAATTATTAGTTGTCATGGGTGTATGTGGGGATAGGCTGGGAGTCTGGGAACTCCTTCTGCAGTCAGGTGACCCAACCTACAGCCTTCCCCATCGCCTACGTGACTTTTGGCCTGTGGCCACGCTGGAGCCATCATGTCTGCCTCCCCCCTGAGAGGTGTGAAAGAATGTGTGGTTATATGGCAGGGCTATAAAGTTTCTCCGGCCAAATGTGCAGGCCATATGGGTTCAACAGGAAACAAGGCACAGCCTGTTATCAGAAAGATATCACAGGAGGATGCAGGAGACATTTAGAAATCAATATTTCTATACACTGATAAAGTTTGGGAACCCCTGGAAGTAGACAATACTGACTTTGATAGACCAATGATTTGATAAGGCAGCGTTGTGTGTGTGGTCAAGTATGCACTTCAAGTTGGATGACACAACCATTTCTCATGCATTGTTGAGTGTGGGTTGTCAGCCACTGTTTGTGGTGTGAGCCACACCTCCTGTTTGAGAAACAGTGGGAATGTGGCTTGAGCCTGTCCCCATGGCCTGAGGCCATAAATTAGTGGCTCAACGTGAGTGGCTACCACTGAGATACTTTAACATGCTTTTAGTTTCACCAGAATAAAACAGAAAGCCAAGGACACCTTGAAAAACTAACAATACTTATCCCAGTTTTTGTGAATCAGAGCTCATTCCTTCAGATGTTAGGAAGAGGAAATCATATTCCATATTTTTACAGAGAAAATTACAGAAGTGGGGAAGGGAGGAGTTGAGGCAGAGGGAGGATTGGTGTGAATCTTGTAAAACCTTCAGGTGTGATTCTCCTGTGTAAGGGAGTGGAACAATGAGGTTGGTATACATGATGGACAATGAGAGAGGTCAGAGGTTCCAGCCTCTCTCTTATAAGGTACAGAAGAACAAAAGTGTAATGAAGTAGGATAAATAACAACTAACTGAGGAAGAAGCAGTGTGAAGCATAAGAAGATTAACTGACGTTGGTAAAGGGCTATAGTATGTAGTTGTTCAGTCGCACAGTCGAGTCCGACTCTTCATGACCCCATGGACAAGATCACGCCAGGCCCTCCTGTCTTCTGCCGTCCTCTGAAGTTTGCTCAATTTCATGTTCGTTGCATCTATGACACTGTCTAACCATCTCATCCTTTGCCGTCCCCGTCTTCTTTGACCTTCAATCTTTCCCAGCATCAGGGTCTTTTCCAGTGAGTGCTCCCTTCTCATTTGGTGGCCAAAGTATTTGAGCTTCAGTTTCATTATCTGGCCTTCCAGGGAACAGTCAGGGTTGATTTCTTTTAGGATTGACTGATTTGATCTTCTTGCAGTCCAAGGGACTCTCCAGAGTCTTCTCCAGCACCATAGTTCAAAAGAATCTATTCTTCAGCGCTCGGCCTTCCTTATAGTCCAACTCTCACAGCCATACATGACTACTGGGAATACCATTGCTTTGACCATGCGGACTTTTGTTGGCAGGGTGATGTCTCTACTTTTTATCATGCTGTTTAGGTTCGCCATCGCTTTCCTCCCAAGGAGCAGGCGTCTTTTAATTTCATGGCTGCAGTCACAGTCTGCGGTGATCTGGGATCCCAGGAACGTGAAGTCTGTCACTACTTCCACGACTTCCCCTTCTATTTGCCAAGGAGTGATGGGGCCGGATGCCATGATCTTAGTTTTTTTGATGTTGAGCTTCAAGCCCACTTTTGCGCTCTCCTCTTTTACCCTGAGCAAGAGGCTCTTTAGGTCCTCTTCACTTTCTGCCATTAGAGTGGTATCGTCTGCATATCTGAGGTTGTTGATCTTTTCCCCAGCAATCTTAATTCCCGCTTGTGATTCATCCAGGCCAGCATTTTGCATGATGTACTCTGCATATATATTAAATAAGCAAGGTGATAATATACATCCTTGTCATACTCCTTTTCCTATGCTAAACCAATCAGTTGTTCCATATCCGGCTCTAACTGTCGCTTCTTGGCCCTGCTTCAAACTCTAGCATTAAGCCTGGTAAGGGGAAACTCACCAAGAAGAAGAGAGCTGGGGCATCGAGAAGAGGAGAGCCCTTCTGTGGACTGCTCTAAACTCTTAAAGGTCAAACTAGACCAGGCGCTGGGTGGGAAGCCATGACCAGCGAATGTTGGCAATTTGATCTCTAGTTTCTCTACCTCTTCGAAACCCAGCTTGTATTTCTGGCAGTTCTCTATCCATGTACTGTTGAAGCCTAGCTTGTAGGATCTTGAGCATGACCTTGCTAGCGTGTGAAATGAGTGCAATTGTGGGATAGTTTGAACATTCCTTGGCATTGCCCTTCTTTGGGATTGGAATGTATACTGACCTTTTCCAATCCTGTGGCCACTGTTGCGTTTTCCAAATTTGCTGGCAAATGGAGTGCAGCACTTTAACAGCATCATCTTCTAAGACTTTGAATAGCTCAGCTGGAATACCATCACCTCCACTAGCTTTGTTGTTAGTAATGCTTTCTAAGGCCCATTTAACTTCACATTTCAAAAGCTAAGCAAGGTTGGCTGTGGTGAGGATTCAGATGGGAGCCTTCCAGGGAAGCCCAGGGTTGCTATGCAGAGCCAAGCAACGGCAGATCACCTCTGTTTATCTCTTGCTTTGAAAACCCCCTAAGGTAGGGGTCCCCAATTTGGTTCCGAGGGTGCCTTGGCTCCCACTGACACCTCAAGTGTTTTAGGAGGTGGGCAGGGCCAGGTAAGGCTTTTGCCCGCAAGGCTTACTGGAATACCTGCTATCGGATAGGAATCATCAGGCAACCAGACAGGAGGTTGGGTTCCGTGCCCAGGTTTTACAAGGAACGCAAAAAGTGATGGCAAATAGGCCATACCTCTATCTTTTAATTTAAAAAAACTTGTTTTCTTTTTTAATAGGGACATTTTAAATGGTTTTAAAAGTTCACAAGGTAGTTCTATTTCTCCCTTTTATAAAAAATTTATTTCTTCTATGTTATTTTAAACTTCTATGTTATTATGAGCCTTTTCTGGTTCTTACCAGGTAGGCTATTGTTGGGAATTCTTTTTCATTCCCTTTCAAATTTGATTGAATTTGTGCTGGTCGATGACTGTAATAATAATAAACTGAACTGAACTGAACTTGCCCGCAAGGCTTCTGATTGGCTATTGAAGGTTTGATTAACTGGGCATTTTAAAAAAAACAACACGTTGCTTTGGCAGCAGCTGCCACCACAGCACAGGGATCTTCACTGTGTGACTGAAGTTCAGCTGTGGCAGCCATTTTGTGGCCGGCTCTGCCTCTTGTGGTAGCCATTTTGGAGCAGCCATTTTTGGGTTGTACCCACCATGCAGTGTCAGAATTCTGTGGTACCCTGTGGCTCAAAAAGGAAGGGGGGTGGGGACCCCGCCCCGAGCCGGCCATGGCTGAGAGGGAAGGGGTAGAAATTTAATAAATCAAATCTAATCAAAGAAGGTTGGGGACCCCTCCCGTAAGGGGTCGCTGTAAGTTCACTGCGACTTGACAGCACTTTCCAATCACGATTTCAAGAGGAAGACCATCCTTTAATGTCTTTTTCAATCTCACCCCCCTTAAACTATTTGAACACCATGAGCACACGAAGCTGCATTATACTAATCAGACCGTCAGTCCATCACGGTCAGTATTGTCTACTCACACTGGCAGTAGCTCTTCCGGGGTCTCAGGCTAAAGTCTGTCATATCATTTACAGCCTGGTCCTTTTAACTGAAGATGCCAGGGATTGAACCTGGGACCTTCTGTGTGCCAAGCAGAGGCTCTTCCTCTGAGCCACAGCCCCTCTCCATACACACGGTGCTCAGACGAGGAGGAGGATTTATACCCTGCCCTTCACTCAGAGTCTCAGAGTGGCTTACAAACTCCTTTCCCTTCCCCTCCCCATAACAGACACCATGTGAGGTAGGTGGGGCTGAGAGAGCTCTGAGAGAACTGCTCTTGAGAGAACAGCTCTGACAGAACTGTGGCTTGTCCAAGGTCATCCAGCAGCTACAAGTGGAGGAGTGGGGAATCAAACCCGGTTCTCCCAGATTAGAGTCTGCACACTTAACCACTACACCCAACTGGATGGCTGTACACTTGCTGATTTAAAATTTACCATTGATGAATTGGCCATATGATTGATCGGGCGACATGATCCATTTGATATAAAAGGTCTTAAAATAGCCTTCCTGCAGGAAGCCGTTGTGTGATTCCTTCCCCCTCTTTCTCTAAATCCGAGCAGGGATCTTTCCCCTACGTCCCACCTAAAAGTCCTACACCCCCCCTTTTTTTTTGGTTCTCCCACCCAGCCCTTCCTTTCTCTTGCCCGTGTGGGTCTCATTCAGGCAACTCTTCCCACATGTCGGTTGCACAATAGAAAGGGCAATGAGATCTCCATCTCCCAAATTTGCCGCAGCCTTTCCTCTCTGGGAGGCTGGAGCATCTTCGCAGTGCCTGGAGCTGGGTCCAGAGGCACTTCCTGCCTTTCCTGATGCCACCTCTCGGTGCCTGATCCTGCCCACAGGAAGGCCACCAGCCAATGACTCTGCCCGCTCTCGCTGAGACAGCCTTTCTGAAGCAAGAGCCGGCACGCACTCTTTCTCTCCCTGATCCCCGTCCACTTCTCTCTGATGTCAGACCATCCTCACTGGAATCCAGGTTCCGGGGTTGGGTGAGTAACAACTTCCCTCTGGGCACAGAGCTAGCCACCCACACTGCTGAAGCAAGCCGGTGGCTTTACTAGTCTGTGCTGCGCTCGCTTTCTCTCTCTTATTCTCTCTCTCTCTGTGTTCATGGGCACGGGCAAGTAAAATGCTCTTTTTACTGGGAGACCGATTTCTTCTCACACAGGTACTTTGTTGCAAGTGACTTGGCGCATTGTCTTTTAGTTCCTTCCTGGGGCCCAGCTGTATTTGTCGCTTTCCATCCCCAAACGGCCTGGTGTGCCGGTTCGTTATAGATAGGCAGCACAGAACCTTTAAAAAGAAAATTAACTGTACAATTGGCGTTTTAATTGGGGGAGGGGACTTTCCCTCCTGAACGAACGCCCAGTCACCAAAGATATAAAAGATCTGATACTTAAGACTTGGGTTGTAAGGCAATGACATCTAAGGGGGTAGGGGGTAGTGTTCCATCTAAGCTGAGTTAGTGTGAGCTAGCGCACAGTTTTTTAGCCTCTGGCACACACTTTTTTTTTTGTCTTAGCTCAGGTAAGATGGCTCCAGGGCAAACTAATTTATGCAGGAGTCAAATCGCTCACTCACAACTTTAATGCCAGTTGCTCACGGAGTAGAATTTTTGCTCACAAGACTCCGCAGCTTAGAGGAAGCATCGGTGGGGGAGCCCCATATCCCCAGTGGTTCTTCCAAAGTGAACTTCAGAGATTACTCACTGGAACAGAGAGGTGTCATAGTAGATACCGCATTTATGGCAGAAAGTGTTTAATATGTTGTCGAAGGCGTTCACGGCCGGAGTTCTTTAGCTGTTGTAGGTTTTCCGGGTTGTGTGGCCGTGGCCTTGGCATTGTAGGACCTGACGTTTCGCCAGTAGCTTGACACAGAGAGTACTCCGTCTTTCTGTGTTATACCTCTGAGGATGTCCGTCACAGCTACTGGCGAAACGTCAGGTCCTACAATGCCAAGGCCACGGCCACACAACCCGGAAAACCTACAACAGCTAAAGAACTCCGGCCGTGAACGCCTTCGACAACATATTAAACACTTTCTGCCATAAATGCGGTATCTACTATGACACCTCTCTGTTCCAGTGAGTAATCTCTGAAGTTCACTTTGGAAGAACCACTGGGGATATGGGGCTCCCCCACCGATGCTTCCTCTAAGCTGCGGAGTCTTGTGAGCAAAAATTCTACTCCGTGAGCAACTGGCATTAAAGTTGTGAGTGAGCGATTTGACTCCTGCATAAATTAGTTTGCCCTGGAGCCATCTTACCTGAGCTAAGACAAAAAAAAAAGTGTGTGCCAGAGGCTAAAAAACTGTGCGCTAGCTCACACTAACTCAGCTTAGATGGAACACTACCCCCTACCCCCTTAGATGTCATTGCCTTACAACCCAAGTCTTAAGTATCAGATCTTTTATATCTTTGGTGACTGGGCGTTCGTTCAGGAGGGAAAGTCCCCTCCCCCAATTAAAACGCCAATTGTACAGTTAATTTTCTTTTTAAAGGTTCTGTGCTGCCTATCTATAACGAACCGGCACACCAGGCCGTTTGGGGATGGAAAGCGACAAATACAGCTGGGCCCCAGGAAGGAACTAAAAGACAATGCGCCAAGTCACTAAAAGACAATTGATTAAGGAGCAAGCAGTGGCCTGTAAGAATGTCAGCTGTCAAGATAAAAATCAATCCAAGCGGCAGCGGTGTGATACCCAGTCAGCTGAGTTGAGCAATCCAGAATAAGAGAATGAGGAGCCAGTTTTTGGAAGAACTGTGGAGGCAAACGAGGTGTCCTTGAGTCTCTTGGTGCGATTCTGAGAAAGGTTCCAAAATTAGAGTGAGGCCGTGTCCCTCCTGTTGGCGGGAATGTGGACAAATGAACTGGGAGTCATAGTGCGTCTCGGGACCCCTCAGTATTTTGCCCGCGGGTCCAGGCGAAGGCAGATGTGCGGAGGAATGCGCAACTTTCTGACAGTTCGAGCGGTTCCTCAGTGGAACAGGCTTCCCCGGGAGGTGGTGGGCTCTCCTCTAGAGGTTTTTAAACAGAGGCTAGATGGCCGTCTGACAGCAATGCGGACTCTGTGAACTCAGGCAGATCACAAGAAGGGCGGGCAGGAAGGGTTGCCTCAGTGCTCAGTTCTCGTGGCCCTTTCTGACATGCTCAGGGAAATGCTGGTCGCGACTTTGAGGTCAGGAAGCAATTTTTCTTCGGGCCAGTTTAGCCAGGGATCCTGGAGGAATTTCTTTTTGCCATCTTCTGGGCATGGAGCAGGGGTCACTGGGTGTGTGTGTGGGGGGGAGGTGTTTGTGAATTTCCTGCATTGTGCAGGGGGTTGGACTAGATGACCCTGGAGTTGCCTTCCAACTCTATTATTCTAGGGTATAAGCTGCCAACCTAGCAGTTCGAAAGCAAGAAATTGCAAGTAGATAAATGGGCACTGCTTCGGTGGGAAGGTAACAGCGTTCCGTGCGCCTTGGTGTCTAGTTATGCCGGCCACATGACCACGGAGAAGTCTTCGGACAGCGCTGGCTCTTCGGCTTGAGCCCTAGAGTCTGATACGACTGGCTTTCAAGCAAGGGAAAGCTTTCAAAAGTCAGCGCTCTTGTATCTCACAGAGAGAGCTTTGGCTCTCGAGAGCTGGAAATCTTGTTGGTCTTCAGGACGCAACTGGACTCGAATCTTTCTCTACAAAGTATGCCCTTTCTCATCCCCAAACGCTGGCAATAGTGGCTCTGCCTGCCCCCCTTGGGCCTGCCCTGCTTGCCTCAGGGTATGCTTCAGGAAGGGATCCTCCACTGGAGTTCCACCATGTTACCTAGGCCACTCAGTCCCTCTGGCCACGGCTCTTCTCTTGCCGCTGCAGCCTCCACAGGCCACCCGAGTGGTGAGGAGGTTGCCTCTACCAGAGATCTGAACTGGGGCCAGTCCCTCCTTACCACCATTGAATAAGCCACGGAAGGGACCACTCCTGCTTCCATATATTCCCAGAAAACCATTTACCTCAATAGTGGCGAGTCTGGTTGCATGTGGTTTTACATGTCCATGCATCCATTTGACCATAAGGACCTCATCTAAAGGGGCTCCCTCGACATCTTTTACCAGAGTCCTCCCTCACCCAGTATCCATCAGTCCTCACCCTGCTTTCCCATCCACCTGGGCCTGCACCGTCACCTGAGCCTTCGTGCGGGCACCTACCAAAAAACAGTCCTCCTGGGAATCAGCCGCCTCCCTGTGACCAGGAATATTACTTCCACGTATTAGACAGGTTCCATATCTTTTCCTCAGGAAGTTCTGAGCCAGGTCCAAAACACTCACCATAGTCCACCTCACCCATTTGTAATTTCCCCACTTTATCTACCATCAAGGCTCCAGTAACCTCCGGGACTGTACTTCAGAGGTCGTGTTTAGAAGGGGGTCCTCTGCTGGACGCTAGGCCGTCCCAACGCTATAGTCCCAGGTTCAGTCCCCAGCATCTCCAGTTGATGTGAAAGTCCTCCACTTGAGAGACTCTGTAGAGCTGCTGCCAGTCTTGAGTAGACAATACTGACTTTGAGGGACCAGGGTTCTGATTCAGTTGAAGGCAGCTTCTTGTGTGTGTTAGTGTGTGTGTGGCCTTCCGAAGGAGCCAGGAATCCTCCCCAGGATTCAGGTGGGCAGTCTGTTGTGCCTGCAGACGGAAGCTTACGCCCAGAATTCAACTTTGTTGGTCTGAAGGTGCCACTGGACTCAGACGTTGTTCTAGGGCTGCCCAGTGGGGGGTCTTGAAGAGCCCAGTATACACCAGGAGGACCTATAAGACCTGGCAACAAGAGTTACAAAGGTGCCCAGAGGCTGATAAAGGTCGGGGATTCCTGAAATACCGACTTTGATAGACCAGTGATTTGATAAGGCAGCTTTGTGTTCAAGCTGGATGACACAACTATTTCTCATGCATTGCTGAGCACGGGTTGTCATCCATTGTTTGTGGTGTGAGCCACGTCTCCTGTTTGTGAAGCAGTGGGAGCATGACTTGAGCCTGTCCCCGTGGCCTGAGGCAATAAATTAGTGGCTCAACTTGTGTGGTTACCACTGAGATATTTTGACATGCTTCAACTTTCACCAGAATAAAACAGAAGTCCAGGGACACCTTGAAAAACTAACAATATTTATTCCAGTTTTGGTCAGTCAGAGCTCACTTCTTCAGATGATGCGAAGAGGAAATCATAGTCCATATTTTTATAGAGAAAATTACAGAAGTGGGGGAGGGAGGAGTTGAGGCAGAGGGAGGATTGGTGTGAATCCTGTTGTAAAACCTTCAGTTGTTATTCTCCATGTAAGGGACTGGAACAATGATGTTGGATAATGAGAGAGGTCAGAAGTTCCAGCCTCTGTCTTATGAGGTACAGAAGAACAAACGTGTGGCAAAGTAGGATAAATAACTGCTAACTGAGGAAGAAGCAGTGTGAAGCATGAGAAAATACACACTTAATGGGCATGCACATGAAAGCTTATACCCAGAATTCAACTTCGTTGGTCTTAAAAGTGCCACTGGACTCAAGCTTTGTTCTGTTGGGCAGCCCTGTGAAGGCGCCCCCCCCCCCGGCCCAGTGGCTGCAACCTTCTGTGGAGATGCCGTCTTCTTCCCACAGTGCCAAAGACGAGTCAACTGCCAGAAGTGTGAAAAGAACCACTTTAATTACTTCGCTCCTTATAGGGTTGCCAAGTGTACTTACCCTTGCCAGCAGGGGAGCCTTGCTGGGCTCCGGGAGCTCTCCCCAGGCGCGCGCGCCACCAGCACGTCACAGGAAGTTACGTGCTATGTCACTCACGTTGGGGGCGTGGCCCAGATCGGGGGGGGCACGCCCCCAACGTGAGGGACGGAGGTGACGCAGCTTCGGGGGGCGGAGTTCCCCCGGGGCCCGATTCCGCCGTGGCGGAAATCAGGCCTCCAAAGCGGGGGTTTCCCTGCCCCCCTCCCCCACTTGGCAGCCCTAGCTCCTTAAAGCTCTGGGCCTGGCTGC